GAAGGGAGGTGGGGGTTGCGGGTGGGTGTGGGATCTGTTGGCAGGGGGTGGGTATGAGAGTATGTATAGGGTTTGCAGGGAGGTGTGGGCCCCCTGCTACATGCCCCTAGTCCCTGCCACTGGCAGCAGCAGCAGGCAACCTGTGGCTGGCAGAAGCTCCCAGCATCCCTGGCTAAGTGGGAGCTGCACATGGCAACAGAGCCAGCCCAGCCTGGCCCGCTGGCTCATACCTTCAGACCAGACAGAGTTGGCTTTATGCTAACATGCGGGGCACCTGGCACAGCAGGCTGGAATTTGATGCCTCCATGTGGAAATCTGCATGGGTTGGTGGGGGCATATGCTCCCAGCTGTAGTGCTGGGCACTGCACATGGCAGCACAAAGCCCATCTGATGGCACATGACTCTTCACGGCTCCTGGTCCTTATGCCACTGGGTCCAGGCAGGCTCTGTGCCTCCACATGCAGCTCCCTGCTGGAGTGCTGCTAGAAGCCCCATGTGGAGGCACAGAGCCTGCCTGGCCTGAACTGAAGGTGCACACCAGTGGGCCAGGCCAGGCCAGCTCCATGCCACCACATGCAGCTCCCAGGACTTGGCCAAAGCCGCACACTGCTGGGGGGGACTCTCTCCACCAAAGGCATGAGCACTCCAAAGGCCTGCCTGCTGCTGTTGCTGCCACAGGCTGTGTCATGGGGGCGTGGCCCACACCCATCCACCCACACTCCCCACACCTACCCCCACACATGTGCCATCAGGCTGGCCTGTGCCAGCAGGTGGGGCTTTCAGCACTGCAGCTGAGAGTGTGCATGCCACCGGGCCAGGTTGGTGCCATGCTTCCATGTGGGGCTCCCAGCACTGCAGGCACGAGCTCCCTTGCCCACTCACTGTCTGGTCATATGTCATTGTGCTCAGTGCCTCCACATGGCACTTCCAGCTGGAGTGCCAGGAGTCCCACACAGATGGGCACAGAGCCTGCCTGGTCCGTTGGCATGCTACCTTTGAAAGCTCGCACCTCCTGCCAGCTTTCAGAGGGGCAGCCATAAGCTGGTAATTTTTTTTTTGGAGGAGCCCCACAGGTCAGATAGAATGGCCTGGTGGACCGGGTTCAGCCCGCAGTCTGCATTTTGCCTGCCCCTGTACTAGTGTGTTAGCATTAAATATAAACACTCAGCCTACTTTAACCTTAAATATTAACACTTTTTCTTTATACTGTTGATACATTTTTTAAGATTGAGGTGTAAACACAGTAACGACATTTGAAAAGTAAATGTTATCGATATAACCTTAACACATCCATAGTGCATATTGTATATTTTAAGTCCTATATAATCTAACTACTAACTGTCAGGTTACAGCCTGGCACTTTGGCTTGACCACATGACTGCTCCTCCCAGCCTACAGGCTGTAACCGAGACTGGTCAAGGCTGTACTGAATCCTCCAGCATGGCCTAGCCATCTGCCCACTCACTAGCACTGGAGAGGCAGGTTGGGGTTAGTTGACCCTCCAGTTCCCCCTTATAAATCCCTGACCCAGAACAGAACTTTAAGTGTGGCCATCATTTTGCATTAATGTATGATCAAATTCTCTCCTGATAATACATTGGCACAGCTCCACTCAAATCACCCATTGTGACTAACTTTACTGTATCCTCTAAAAATTTCTCCTTTACTGTTCACCCCCTTTTCCAGGGCATTAAACAGTATCCATTTTAGTGCTAATCTTTGGAATACCCTGTTGTCAATCAAGCTAATCAAACTTTTGCATGCTGAAAATTATCCATTTATTCTCATCCTTGTTCTTTGCATATTTGTTAAATTCTAATCCCTGATAGTCATCCTGTCCCTGCTTAGTTTTTATAGTTATCAGTAAAGATTTTTTCTGTGTATTGGAAAAATATAGGAAAACATATAAAAAATATTTCGGGAGGTTTTTACTGTATGAATCTGAATGACATCTATGGCTTTCTGTTTTCAAATTAAAACCGGTAAAACCTAAATGAAGCAAAAAAATGCGAACTGTCCTTTAAAATGTTTACATCACGCTTCCCTGAAATATCTCTTCTTTTTGAAAATTTATTGAAGGTGCCATCTAAAATCAGTGAATGGTAAATATTTAAGTGAAAATACCGTGAAGAACTCATCTTTATTTTTAGGCACATGAATATTTGTGAAAATCTGCTACTTTGCATGTTTTTTACTTATTTTTAAGTTAGACTATTGCATTATACATCAAATTAATAAGAAGCTCCAATCCCCATAAATGTGAAGACTATAAATTCATTAGCTAATAATCTGAAATATTTAAAATGCATGGAAAACATTTTTTTTTCCTTCAATTATTTTCAAGACAACAAAAGCATTTCTTCCAACAATGATGAAGAATAACCATGGCCATATTGTTACAGTTTCTTCAGCAGCGGGTCATATGCCAGCTTCTTTCATGTTGTCTTATTGGTATGTGGTTTTGAATTTCAGTCTCCTTTCTTATATTATAATTTCTCTTTTCCACTCGCAAAGAGTACTTGCAACCAATACCAAAATTACAAATTCAGTCCTGAAGGCTTTTTGTAAGGTAGATGCCATTATACAAAAAAGCACCACTAACAAAATAATGAACTTTATTTACTAGCCCCATCTTCAGTCAGATGATAATCCAGTATCCAAGTCAATAAATTTAGCTTCAGAGCTCTTCCCAGGTGAAGAAATTTGCTAAAGCCATCTTGCCTAGTGTGATGTTGTAGCCACTATACTTAGTTTCTTAGGATTTGTATCTAATTGATTGAGGTTTCAGTGATTTATGTTTTTGTTCTTGTATATTGGCTCTACCTATCTGATGATTTTGTAGACATTCCATTTAGTAGATTAAATAATACCAAAGACATCTGAGACACTGAAAACTTGCATCAGTGAATTCAGTAAATCACTGAGGAACTTGACATAAATTCAGAGGTTCAGACTGTAACAACACATGGAACTGTGTGTGGAGTGAGCCTCCACTCATAGACGAGCTTTCCTGAAATCCTAGTGCTTATAAAGCACAGTTCTCCCTCTCTCAACCTTTCAGAACAATGTCTATGCATTCCAGAATCTGCTGAGGAAAAAGTTGGGAAAAGGGAAGGAAGTGGCAGCATGGGACCAGGGGGAGATCCTCTTCTAGCTCCATAGCAGTTATCTTTTTAAGATTTTAATTTATCTGTGAAGCTCCACCAGGTTCTCTTGAAATCTCTCTAGTGAAGACAGAGGAAACATGGGTAGTCTGGCTTCAAAGAATCAGAGCATACAGCTACAGGTGTAAACTATAGCCTTTTACACAGAAGGGGTGAGCCAAGTAGATATTCTGTTTGAACAGAAAAAAACCCCCTTCAGTATATTGGTAGCTGTTCCGTTGAAGCTGCATACAATTTAGCTATTTTAGACTGAAAATTCTTTTGCAAAAATTTGTTACAGCATTAGTGATGAAGTGAAGGGTAGCTGAGTTTCACATTATTTTTAACCGTTAATAGGACTGAGCTATTTCCCCTATTTTAAAATCTTTAAGTACCTTTCTTTCTTCCAAAAATCTTACAACTTATTTGACACTTCGTAAATACTAAATTATACCATTAACCAGTATTTGGATACTAGTTCACTGTAGTTAGATATGCAGAATGTATACATACCAAGTTAAAAATAAAGAAATTCCAGTAGATAAACATAAGTGTTCATTTACAATTTTTAAAAGAGTAAATATTAATTCAGTTTCTGTCTCCAATCCACTGTAACTCTTTTAAAAGACTGTCTTCACACTAGTTTTGATTTAATGATATTCAGCAGAGACTTTTGATATAATGTGTATGTTAGTTTAAAGCTAACCAAGTAAAGAATAGGACTATACGGAGGAAACTCAAACATTTGATATTTAAAAAAGGTAGAAGCATCTTTCTTTGGGCAGGCAAAACATAATTTCCAGATTTTTTAGATGGTTTCCATTTATGTCAACTCAGGTTTTAGTTTTCTTCTTGTAAACATGCCTCTTAAAATCTAAGAATAGAGTGCTGAGGAGGTAGAAACTTAAGACATACTTGTTATTAAAACTAACTACCCCAACTTGCTGATGGTTTGTATTAAGTAGAGTTAAATGACAGATGTGCAAGAGATTATCACAAGTAACTAGGATTAGAAATAATTTTCCAT